AACTAATAATACAAGCTAACATTGTATTCACTTTCTGGAAAGCTAGTGTTGATTCACATTCAGCTTGTCACAACACAAACTGTCCATGTCTTTTACACATGAATCACATCTCTGTCTTGCATTTGTGTTGCAGACCTGTGTGTGTGTGTGTGTGTGTGTGTATGCACACATACTTTAAACCATTGATTCATTACATTTTTAATTGGTTTGCATCTCATTTCCATCTTCCAATGTATCACTCATTTCTCCTAAATCTGTGTCACTGGAAACTGCTAAGAATGCTTTTAGTTACCTTTAATGGTTGCCAAAGATCAAGATGACAGAACCAGCCCTTTGATAGGCAGCACCTACCTCTGCAAACGCTTCTGTGAATTCTTGTAGACAAGTTGTACCAATCTCCTGTAACTTAGGTTGAATTTCTCTGTTTTTCATTCTTCCCCTAAAAGATACCATGAGAACTTTGTAAAATATTCCCTGAAATCCAAATGTACTTCATCCACCCTGGATCTCAGTGTTTTTCTTCATTGAGCCACAGAGATGGAAGTACATAGTAGGTGTTATTTTATACCTCAGTACTTCACAGAGAAGGAAACAGAAGAGAGTGCTCACATGTGTGCAGTTGTCCCTTGGTATCCAAGAGAAGTGGCTCAAGGAAAGTCAAGGCCGTTGTATAAAATGGCATAGAATTTGCATAGACCCTACCCTCATCCTCCCATATACTTCAAATTATCTTAGATTACTTATAATATTTAGTACAATATAGTTGCCATAGAAATAGTTATTATACCATATTGTGTAGGGAATAATGACAAAACAAAGCCTGAACATGTTTAAAACAGATAACATTTTGAAAAATTATTTTTTATGGGTGATGGTGGAATCCACAGATGAAGAACCCCCAGAAAAGGAAATCCATGGCACTCAAAATGCATTCTCACCAAAGCCACACGAGTAGTCACATTACAGACCAGGGGAAATTTAGTGATTGCATATTGACTCAAATCTATGGCTCCTGACTCCATGTTCAAAGAGCTTAAAAAAGTGCACCAACACTTTAAGAGAGAACATGCTAGCTCCTAGTGACTGTTCCTCGTTTTTGCTCACAATCTATTAAATGAATCTTCTCTAGAATGTTACTGGGGCTTCACATAAATTGGAGAAAAATGAAGCTGAGAGAGCATTTGGGATTTTAAATAAGTCAAATCTCCAAACTAGACATATTATACTCCAGAAATAACCTATGCCTATTACCTTGAAAACACAATGGGCAATTTTTGGGGGGTAGTCTATGAAGGCTTTCTACAGAAGAGTGGGACTGAGTGAAAAACCTGAGAAATGGGAAAGATTTTAGTGGAAGATCTCTTACAATTGAGGAAATTGGATCCACTGTAGAATCGGGAATGTATATGGGATGTTCTGGATAAGTCTTCCCTTTCAGTGTCAAGGGCTAACTCTGGCACATCTAATTAGACAAGTTGGGGTTCACCAATACAGCTGAACTCCAAGGCTCTGAAGACATTACAGGGACATCTCTCAGTTCAGCCTTGTGGGCCAACTCCTTTCTCAAGAAGGATTCTCAGATATGAGTAATAGCAGCTCTTTCAGGCTTAATGGGAAAAGAGGTCTTCTTTATCAGTCATTCAAGAAACGCCCCAGAGAGGACTCATTGGACCCCTTGAATAGGTTTGATAGGTTTAGCAAATCAAAATATAGAATGTTCTGTTAGATATGAATTTCACATAAAGAATAAATAATTTCTCAGAGTGTGTTTCATGTAAGATTTGGAATTTACTAATATAAGAAATTGTTTACCTGCATTCTAGATTTAAATTTGGATTAATAAGCATCTGTATCTTTTCTAGCAACCCTATTCCCACACCAGTCCTTGTGGTCAAGTACACGGGGAGTTTGACTGACTCAGCCTGAAGTGAGTGATCGTACTCTGGATGCCAGGCATAAAGTCAGCCATCCCCTACACCATGGACTGGAGTAAGGAGCAGTCAGACTCAGCCATGCTTAAAGATGGGGAAAATGGATCAGTAGGCAATTTCATTGTTGTACGCACAGGATAGAGTGTACATACACAAACCTAAAAGTTCTGGGTCATTTTTTTTACATGGCTGCTCAACACACTCAAGAGACATAGCAAGCACAAGATGTACAAGGCTGCTGCCTGGCATCCTGATGAGGTGGGAAGCTGACAGAAATGTGAAGTGGGTTGTCGCTTGCTCAAGGCCAAATAGCAAACAAGCTACAGAGAAAGACAGTGAACCAAAGAGCATGACTCTAGGGTCCAGGTGTACAACTGAGGCAAAGGGGTAACAGGATGTTGAAAGAAACAAGCAGACACTTTGGATGACAAAGTGGGAAAGAAGGAAAATGGCTTATCAAGGGGGCGAGTGAATGCACTTCAGTAGGGAAGCAATGTGTGAGCGAAGATAAGATCTATGTAAGCTAACTCCCTCCTCTCAAGACCCTTGCACCTTTGAAAAACATGAATAATAACTTTCCCTTGAGACACCCACTAAAAAAGGCTTCCCTTGGGCAAGGCTGTTTTGTCTGTGGAGTGGCCATCTCTGCTGTTTATGTGTGTTTCCTATACTAAAGTTTTATTATATTTTAGCCTTGAAATTAGCCCACATATGCTCTGTGCTTCTTATGTGGCCAAGAACCCATACAAGCTAGTGACTGCTTTACATTTTACAGTTAGCTTTCTTTTTTCCTTTGTAGTGTAGGGAATTGAAATTAGGTCCTTACACTTGCTAGGTCAGCACATTATCACTGAGCTACATCCCCAGCCCTTTTTAAAAATTTTCTTATTTTGAGATAGAGTCTTGCTAAGTTGTCTAGGTTAGCTTCCAACTGCTGATCCTCCTGCATCAGCCTTTTGAGTAGGTGGGAGTACAGTCATGGGCCACTAATCCAGACAAAACTTTTTTAATAAATGGAAAGACTATATACTAAAATAAAGATTAAAAGTATAGTACAGTAAAGAAACCAGTAACAATAGTTTGCCACGATTGTAAGTATCATGTACTGTGCATAATTGTATGTGCTACCCTTGCACAAAACTGGCGGCACAGTAGATATGCTTATATCTGCACCACTACAAACAGAGGAATAATGTGCTGCCCTGTGACCTCGTGATGGTTACTGCATCATTAGGAAATAGGAATTTTTCAGCTCCATTAAAATCTTACAGGACCACCATCATACATTCAGTCAGCTGTGGACTGAAAAGTTCCTTACACAGTGCGTGACTGGGCTAGAAAGTGACTGGATAGTGCCCAGAGAAAGCAGCTGATGCTGTGACTTCCTCCACACAAAGCAAGAAGACCAGGACAAAAGTGAAAGTGATACTCTAGTAAGGGATTCATGCTTTTCTGCTCCTTTCAGTAACATTGCAATTCTCCTAACTGCTGTTTCTGAGCCCCAAGCCACAGGTGCACAATTTTGTAGGCTCCTAGGAAAAAGGATGTGTGTTTCTTGTTCACAGTTGCAGTCCCAAGGCTTGGCACATAGTAGAATCTCAATTAAAAATTGTTGAATAGCCAAATGATTGAAGCCCTCTATGTCCTTTATCTTTCTTCCTTGGGCAAATTTAATTATCCTACTAGATAAGATTCTTCAAAAAAGACTTTCAAAATGTTTTTACATGAACAGTTGTGATACTTTGATAACAATAGTAAGGCTAACCTGCTTAGCTTCCCAAAAGCATATACCTCTGGCTTTCTCACAGTGATCTTTGAAAAGCTCATAAAATCCATTTGATAATATCTTGGCAAGAAACGTGAGTCCTGTTCTCCTGATTTACATATAAGGCAGCTGAGTCACCAGAGGCTGGGCCAGTCCATCAATTCCACAAATAAGAGTAGATGGAATTTGGCAATTTGGGACACATTCTTTTTTGTTCCAGTGCTGAGAATGAAACCCAAGGCCTCACACAAGCCAGGCAAGCACGTACCACTGAGCTGCACTCCCCTATTTGGGGTGATTCATTGTCTTCCTGAGGACTCTGTGTTTTTGGAGTGCACTGGCAAATTTACTCTCTGACTACAGCATTTCAGCTGAGAGAAAGCTAATTCCTACAGAAAGTTGCAGTGTGTGGACTTTCATGTATCTAGTTAAATGCAGAGGTGGTGTTTTATTGAAAGAAAATCTTTCTGAAGGCAGATTTAAGCATGAAGGAAGGGAAGCTGGAGAAGTCATAGACTCTGCCACCTACCCTGGGTTCACTCCAGAGACTGAAGGGGTAAAACCTGCTCCATGTACCAGCACTTCACAAAGTCCTCCTTGGAAGGATACAAAGGCCATGTCTTACAGACAGCTGCCAGGCCATTCCCATCCAGCATTATGTGTTCATTACGATCATTTTCTGACTAAAGGAAATCAAATGTCTGGAAGAAAAGACTTATTCCAGTTTATCCCAAACTTCATTCCAAAAGCCTTTCTCATCCTGATAAAAAGGCATGTTATTAACTCCATTTTACAGAGGAAACTTGAACTATTAGTTACTTACCCAAAGTAAAAGAGAGTCACTGGCAGAGGTGGAATTTCAAGCCAGCTAGTCCTAGTCCAAAGCCCTCGGCTCTTCTTACAACACCAGCCTGCTTTTCCAGGGCAATGATGAGGAAGTGAAATCATGTGGTTGAAATGGTGTGTGCCCCCTAGGACACCATGCAAAAACATACACTTGTCTTAAGATTCACCTTGGGCAGGACAACTGATCTTACCAGTGAGCTTTTCTGACGGAGAACAAGCTGGTGGGCTACATGGTATTTGAAAATACAGTGCACCCTGTGGTAGCCATGACAGGAGAGTGGACTATGGATATTGGGGGCAGAGAGGTGAATCTGATAATTCTTACAAAGAGCATATGTATGTGGGTACATCTAAATTACCTATTGTTTCTTTAGGGGCCACCTCCTGACAATAAAGAGTTTAGGTGAAAATTGCACAGGTTTTCAGCTCCCTGTTTTGATTGCCTTTTGTCTCTGCAGGTCTCTCCTCCATAGCTGCTCATCTTCCTGTACCATGGCTCTGGACACCACACTCTAAAGCTCCTGTCACCAGCACACCCTGCCCACAACAAAGGTGTGTCCTTTTGTTTCCTAAATCATTCCATTCCTTTGTGCCAAGGCTTAGACATTCTATGGGCCCCTAGCATTTCTTTTATATGCCAGGAGTTCAAGCATGCAAGCAATATTCACTTATTTCTCCCCAAGTGATTCAGAGACAGGAAAGCTCAATGTGCTGGCTTCCACCATGCAGCAAGGGAGTCTCCAGGAGGGGCTTGGAAGGGCTGTGTGATGGCTAATTTTATGTGTTAGTTTGAGTAGGCTTAGGGATATCCAAATAGCTGGTAAATCATTATTTCTAGGTGTGCCTGTGAGGGTGTTTCTAGAAGAAGTCAACAATGTAATAAGTGAATAGAGTAAGGAAGACAGCCTCACTAATGTAAGCAGACATCGTACAACTTGTTAACAACCCTGATAGTACAAAAGATGGAGGAAGGGCAAATTTTGTCCTGTTTGACACATCCAACCTTTTCTATCCTCAGATGTGTGCACTCCCATTTCTTGAGCCTGGGGACTCTAAGATGTACACTAAGTATCATGACAGCCCCAGTTCTCTGGCCTTCAGCTCCAGACTGGTAGTACACCATCAGCTTCTTGGATCACAGGCTGTCAGATTCACATTGAATGACACCTTGTGGGTTAAATCTAAAATGTCCCCAGAAGTGTCATGTTCAAGGTGGGATTTTGAAAGGTGATTGGAGCACAGAGGTGCTGAATGTGTCATTAGCAGGTAAGGCCTGGTCAGAAGGGCATAGTCACTGGGGGCGTGACTTACAAGGGTGTATTCTTGTCCTTGAGTCCTACTTTCACTCTCTCTACTTCCTGGACATCACACAATGAACAGCTATCCTCTACCATGCCATCCTACCAGGCCATTTCTGCCTTGGAGCCAGAAAAAAATATGTACTTAGCACACTAAAACCATAAGCCAAATAAGACTTTCTTCCTTTAAACTGCAGGCATCAGTATTTTGTTCTAGTGATGAAAAGATGACCAACTTTTCCTGCAGGCAGCGGATCACAGGACTTTTTGGCCTCCATAATCACATGATCTAACTCCCATAGTAAATATCCTTGATGAATCTCCACCTATCTAATAGATTTTATTCCTCTGAAGAACCCTTATTAATACAGACTATATTAATCTGGTAGGGCTACCATAACAAAGGACCACCAACTGTAGGTTAAAACACAGACTTTTATTTTCTCACATTTCTGGAGGCTAGAGATTCCCTGAGCAAGATATTGGTGGGAGTGGTTTCTCCTGAACCTCCCCACTTATGCGGCAGATGGCTACCTTCTCCTTGTCTGCCCACGTGGTCTTCCATTTGTATCTCATTTGTGTCTTGATCACCTTTATTATAAGGACATCAATGATACTGGATCACAGCCCACTGAAATGTTTTTATTTAAACTTCATTGGCTCTTTAATGTCTCTATCTTCAAATACAGTCACCATGAGGTACTAAATGTTAGCACTCTAACATAGTCTGTAGCAAAGGCATAAGCCACCTCTCCCCAAAAAATTTCCATCAGGTTCCCAAAAATTAAGCCGAAAAATGTGAAATCTGTGTAGAAATTGTGTGCTGTTACATACTCAGAGACCCTAACCCTGCTGGCACTTCCCAGCACATCCCCCAAGCCCTCTAAATTAGAAGTAATGGAACTATCACCATCATGCAGACAGCTCCCCAAAGATCCTCTCCTCTAATATTCTTCAATGGCTTAAACCAAAAGCCAGATGTAGTTTTACTTTCTTCTTATACTAATCCCAGGCAAGCTTTCCTAGTACCCACTCCTTGAAGCTGCACAGATTACACTTAAAGCTAGAAACTGAATGACTGCAGCACCATCATGCACTTTAGGTGGCTGAACATTGCTTAGAATTGAACACTGGGTACTATGGCAGGAATGTGTCCCCCAAGTGTTATGTGTTGGAAACACAACCCCCAAATTCCTGTGTTGAGGATACGTGGAGTTGAGGCATTTGTGTGGTAGATTTGGATGAGGTTATGAAGGTGGGGCTCCAGTAGTTTTATAAGTAGAGAGGAGACATCTGAAGTAGGACATTTGCTCTCTCTCACCATGTGATTGCTATGCCATGTTAAGATGTAGGAAGGGTCTGCGATCACCCGGCGGAGTGCGCGCGAGCTCCCGGCCTGCGCGGGAGCTCCCGGCCTGCGCGACAACAGACCCAGGAAGGACCCAAGGACCCCAGAGGGGGTTTTTTTCAGCTGCCTGCCTACCTGCCTGTCTGCGATCACCCGGCGGCGTGCGCGTGAGCTCCCGGCCTGCGCGACAACAGACCCAGGAAGGAAGGTAGCCGCGCGGGCGCCCTTGAAACACCCACACGACCCCCCCCCCCGTTCTCAAAACTCCTGATCGGGCCAGTCCTTAGACCAACTCTGCAGAGGCATAGGTTCCCATGAAGGGTAGTTTTCTGAGCTCCGAACTTTGATCATCTTTAAAGAAAGGGCAGGGGAAACCTGTAATAGAACGGAGTGGAGTTCAACCCTGAGGGTAAGGAAACTAAAGTTAGGCTTTGTAGATTGTGTTCAGTCTCAGTCGTGAGGAACAGCCATTGGCTAGCTATAACCAGGGGATTGGGTTCCGCATATGACTGTGCATGTGGTATAATATGAGATCAGAGATAGCCTGAAAGAGGACCTTCAAATTCTTTTTCTTTCCCTCTCTCTTGTCTCTTTTTTCCTCTTTCCACCCTAAAATTTCTTTCTTTTTTCTGTCCTGTCTCTCCAACTCAGTCTCTTGCTCCACCATAGTGTCCCTCATCTCCCTTTTTATTCCAGTTCCTGAAGAACTCAGACTTCTTTTTTTATTTTTTGTTTTTAGGACGGGTTTCTCTTTATGTTCTTTTCTCCAGTCATTTTACCTCACTCATGGCTCTGTACCTTCAAGGGAAGGCAAGCGCCTGTTACTGTTAAGGGGATATATTCCTGTCCTTATTCCTGCACTCTCTCTATCCCCCCTGAACTTAATAGCTTTGTAAAGATAGTAAGGTAATTCTACAACCTCTGGATTCACTTCAAACCTGCTCTAATTCTTTCACTTATCTAATCCTCTTGTTCTAAGTCGAACCCCCCATCCTAAATGGTAAAGATGCCATATTGAAAAGAATATTCACTGCAAACATACTATGAGCTGCTTCTTGAAATTAATCTAATTCACATGAGTTAAAGGTGATACATTAATGACTACCATAAGTGGTCAGTTGGCAAGCTGTGCCTGATCCTATTGGGCTGCTGAATGTATCAATTGGGACAAAGAGTGGTGATTGATTTAAAGAGTTGTTTTCTCTGATATTATGAAAACGAGAATGTCTATGAGTCATTAGAAACTCAAAAGCTAAAACGCAACTATATTAGGAAGATTTAAGTAATACCCAGAAATTAAAGAAGGACAACCCAACAATAAAAATAAAAATGAGAAAACACTTAAGCAAGACACAAAAACAAATATCCAGTTCACCAATAGCAAATAGTAGGACAAATGAGGATGAAAAGTCTGATAGTGAACCAACAGGACTCCCTGGACCCATAGCACAGGAGGTAACAAAATTGATCAATCAGGCTCTAGAAAAATTCAAATCAGAAATAATTTCCCAGCTAGCCAGAGAGATGATGAGCAAAATAGAAGTCATGATTCGAGACTCTAGAGCAGAAACTGAGAAAAAAATAGATGAGCTCAAGACTGTGATAGAAGCCATGAAGACTCAGCATAAGAAAGACATGGAAACAATGAATGCCCAACAGAGGAAAGAAATGGAATCCATAAAACAGATTCAAACAGATATCCAGGAGATTAAAAACTCTATTGAAAGTGTACGAAACAGAATAAAAGATTGCGAAGATAGAATTTCAGATATAGAAGATAGGATAGCAGTCAGTGACCGTGAAAAAAGAGGTCTATTAAAAACAGTAAGGGATCATGAGAAATCAATCCAACAACTCCTAGACGATACAAAGAAAAATAACATAAGACTGATAGGAATTCATGAAAAAACAGGAGAAAACACAAATGATATAAAAAAGCTCTTCACAGAATTAATGACAGAAAACTTCCCAAACAGAAGGGAAGAATTAGACATACAGATAAGTGAGGCATATAGAACCCCAACTAGCCACGATCAAAAAAAATCTACACCTAGACATATAATAATCAAGATTCCAGAAATCCAACAGAAAAACAAAATACTACAAGCAGTAAGAGAAAAGAAACAAATCACATGCAAAGGGAAGCCCATTAGAATCACAGCAGACTTTTCAACACAAACCCTTAGGTCAAGGAGAGCCTGGAGTGAGGTATTCCAAGTCCTAAAAGAAAAGAATCTCCAACCTAGACTTTTGTATCCTGCAAAACTCTCTTTCAAAATAGATGGGGAAATAAAATACTTCCACGACAAAGAGCACCTGAGAAATTTCATGAACACCAAACCAGCACTGCAAGGAATTCTAAACAATATCCTAGAAAAGGACAACGAAATTCACAATAACATGAGGCCCAACAGACCAAATCAAATAGGCAAGGCAAGAAACTAAAAGGAGATGGGAGAAAAAGTAAAAAGAGTCAACAAATGGACAAAAACATGACAAGAATAAGTCAAAATATATCAGTTGTAACCATCAATGTTAATGGCCTCAATTCACCAATCAAGAGAAACAGATTGGCAGAATGGATTAAGAAGCAAAATCCAACAATATGTTGTATACAAGAAACACACCTAGTGCAAAAGGAAGTCCATAGACTGAAAGTGAAAGGATGGAAAACAATTCTCCATGCGTCAGGAGTCCAGAAAAAAGCAGGGGTAGCAATCTTATTCTCAGATAAAGTAAATTTCAAACCAAAACTCATTAAGAGAGACAAAGAAGGACACTACATCCTTGTAAAGGGAACAATTCAAGAGGAAGAGCTGACAATCATAAACATATATGCACCAAATATAAATGCCCCCAACTATATAAAACAAATATTAAGTAACATGAAAAACCAAATAAGCACT